ATTGAGAAATAAAACATAAACATTCAGCGGTCCAGGATGGTGACTTTGTTGGGGAAAGAGGCCGAATTGTTTGTAGAGCCTAATGAGATTTAGGATTAGATTTCCTGTATCAGTGGGCAGCCGCTGGGGAAAAGTAAATTCCCTGCACTTAATGTACTCTGCAAGAGAGGCATTTATCTTGGGGTGTTTGCGTGCGGCTGTACCTAACGGGTCCCAACCTTGGTAGGTGCCTGCCCCCAAAGAAATTCCAGCCTAGGACAAAGCAAAAGGACTGGCGGAGGGAATAAAGCATGGAAAAATGTGGACCCGTGCCCAGACCTGCCCGTGAGACAGTGGGACCTGGAGGTGCCGTGGCCATTCCTGCAGTACCGTGAGCACGGCGCTCGGCACGCTGCTTTGGAAGGAAGGCAGAGGAACGGATGGCCAGGCCGTGGGAGCAGCACGATGCACAGCGTGGCTGAATGTCTGCTGGAAAAAACACTCACAGATGGGCTGAAACCTCTGTCTGGGTTGTGTGAACTGTTGCCATCAGTCCGAGGACCGAGTATGTAGTTTATATGCCAAAGAGACCGAATGTAATAGGACGTTTTGCAGTGCCTGAGAGGTGACACTGCAGGTACACCATTAAACTTGGCAGGTTTTTGTGCCTGACCAGGGGTCCACTGCTCAGCCCAGACAAAGTATCCAGATCTCTAGCCATCCTCCTGGAGCTTTTTTGTAAGAACCAAGGCATTTGGGTCCAGGAGGTGTCAGGAAATCTCACCTAATTCAGTTTTCACTTGAAATTGTCTTGTACCACATCCTGACCCTGGGTAAATTCAGCACCCAAGAAAAAATCTTTTCCCAGCCAAAAATCTTCAATGCCACGCACTGGGTATGGCACTGTGAATTCTTCACAGCCTGTAGGTCTGGGGAACCACTGGAGGCTTTGTGACCCTTGTCCTGGCCTCCAGCCCCTCTGAAATCCAGCCAAGACACCTCTGCGTGCTGCCACCAACGGGACCCTGCCTCAAAGTTTTAATTCTTCAGAACCAGGCTGCGTAATTTTCCATCCAGGCCGATGGGTTTTGAAGCTTGCTTGAGGCAGGCTGAGCACTGCTCTGCAAACCAGGTAGCTTTGAATTCCAGCTCTGTTGCTGGCTCCATGAATGATTGCAGTCAGCGTGACTCGCTCGGACTTGTTTTTTTCTATTACACCAATATATGTATTTTTTCCCTTTCTCCTTCTCTGCCACATATCACACTCCTGCCTCTTGGCATCGGCGAAGGTTCTGTTTTTCACATCATCGTATGAAAAAACTCTTGCCAGATCAACTCTGGCAGCTGTCACCAGCCTAAGGTGTAGGAAATTCTTCCTTTCAGGAGAGCTGGCTCGATGAAATGTCATCTCTGACGTTAAGGTAGATATGCAGAAGATCCAGTCTAAGGGGTAGGACTTGTCAAGCTGTGCTTCCTCTGCGTTGCCAGCTGGGGGTATGACCTCTCGCTAGGTGCAGAGTTGAAGTGTTCAGACCTCTGGCTGAGGAGGGAGAGCAGGAAGGTGACTGCTGTTTGATTCCTAGGGCGAAAGTTTCTTCCACTCTGCCTCTACCTGGGTTTTGCAGCCAGCATCTGGCGGGGGGAAGTCCCATGCTTTCATTTGGCACAGCAAGTGGGACCATGTCCCTTTTTTCCATGCGTGACAACTGAAGTCAGACTGTTAGGAAAAGGTCCTGCCTTGCACTGGGCAATGGGCTAAGGCGGCATGTATTTGTGCTCTGTCTGGAAGGAAAAAGGAGCTCTGAGACAAGGGTGCATCTAATGCACAGCTTCGTCTGAGCTAAAGGAGCAAGACTCTGTGCCTAACACAGGCCTGGCTAAGGACATGCAGATATTTTAATCCTCAGCGAAGTTGTAGCAGGCCCTTGTAATTCCATTGTACTAAAAATGTCCTCAACATCTTGTTTGTTTTTTTTTTTTCTAAGCTAACCTCTGTTTCCCTTTGTGATACCAATCCCTTTTCAAACAATCCTCCCCCCCGCCAAAATAAAATTCTCTCTGAAACTTAATAACATTTTTTAATATGTACGCATGAAACAAATTTCCTTCCCCGACCATTTGTGTGGTTTTTCAAATCATTAAGGGAGTTTCCTCATTCTGTGATGTCAAGAGTCACCCAGATCAAAGCTTTTACTGATATTACAATTAAGCACTCTGCACCATTAAATTCACTTTCCACACTGTAATTTTTATAATAGGTCGGGAAGGAGCTTCATGGTTTGATTTCATTCCAGCCATGGCGCCAGATTCTGATTTCTCATTAGCTCTCACACCATGGTTTGTGAAATCCTGAAGCTAACAAGGAGTCTGAGTTAATATCGGGCTGGCGTCTGTCCAGCTGAATTGTGCTGCGTGCGTATGAGATGACAGGGAGATGATATGTTTTGGTCAGAAGAAAGGAACAGCTTCGAGATAAGAACGAGGTAATCCCTCTTGCTTCCCCCAAAATACATTCCTGGTAAACAGAGGTCGTGCATACCAGATCCAGGCAGTTGTGCCAGTTCCTCGTCTTTGTGTTTAAGGTATCGTGCAGAGAAACCCAAGCTGAGGGAAGAGAAAGGCAAACCGAAAATGGATCTTTTAGCAAAGGAAGAGGAGAAAAGGAAAGGTGGGCACCTTTCTTTTCTGCCTGGTCATTGTAATTAAGTAGAGATTTCCGTGGGGTAGCTTCCCACTGCCTTCCTTGCAGGTGTCTGGAGGAGAGCTGAAGTGCGCCCAGAGCGGGATGGCCAGCCTTAAAACCCCAGAAAATCGGAGGTGCTTGGCTTTTCTTCCTCTGCGGGGAGGAACGAAAGGGGAAAAGCACACACGTGTGCTTGCATGTGCTCATGGTCCCCGCTGCTGTTAACGGGAATTGCATGAGGGTGAGCAGTCTGGATTCTGAGTCCATCGATGCTGTTGTGAGGCTGCAAGGACGTGGAGCTGTGCTGACAGCCGCCAGCAGCCTCGCTGGGAGTCGGTGGCCGGCCCTGCGAGCCGGAGAGTTCGTATCTGGAATGCGAGCCTGCATGACTTCCCCTGACTAGCACAATAACTAACACTGGGTGGGTGTTTCTTGAAAACTATTCAAGCAAATGTCAGAAACACTGATCCAAAGAGAGCGTTTTCAGGCAAATATTTGGAGATACATAAGCTACACTTCTGCCTCCAGCCATAGAGACGGAGCGCTGCGGTGCTGCCAGCTCTGAGGCTCTGGGGTGGGAGTCGTGCTGTGTAATTCGTAACAGATGACGTTTATTACCTGGCTTTCTGTGGGGAGGCAGAGCTGGGAGGAAAGGGGGGGAAATACTTGACCAAGTTGGGAGCCAGTGATGAATTTCTACAAACTCGCCCCAAACCTGCCGCACATGCCATCACCTAATCTGATCCGTTCTGCTGAGCCGGGACAAGGACTTGGTTCTGCACCAGCAGGATTTACTGCCTGTGCATTTTGGGTTATAGCTGCAAGCTTTGCACTGAGCTATGAATCCTGCATGCATTTATTAAAAAGAAAAAAAAAAAAAAAAGGAAAAAAAAAGTGTTGTCTAATGTGTTTTTCCTGGAAGATCCCTCCAAGAGCATCCCCTCTCCAGATGCAACGTGAGACTGCTGCCAGGCAGCGTTAAGGCCTGCTACTGAGCTGGGGTCGTTACAGAGCCTGGCTGATAGCTGGGACAGTGTCACACCCGGAGGTGTCACGGCTGTCCCCACCTGCTGCTGGCAGCCAGGGGATGAGCGGCATCGCGGGGACGCAGCTGCAGCAGCCGTGGCTGGGATTCATCACGCCGGCAGCCCGCTTACAGGGCCCTTGTGTTGCCACAGAGGGGACAGAACGGCCATCGATTATAGCCATAATTCAGTTGTGGTGGTGGTCTCACAGCCTTAATGAGCCAAACCTCGTTTAGTGTGAGCAGCAACAGCCCCAGCCGCAGCTCGTCCACGCACCCACACTGGCAGCAAGTCCATGGGACCTGGCCATGAGCACCCGGTCAGTACCACGACAGGATCAAACACCTCCACGTGCACACGGCTGCTCTTACTGCTTCCCTTCGCAGCCCTTCCTCCGACAGCGAGCCTCATCTGAGAAGAGGACGGGTTTGGTACCTTTGTGGCTCTGCAGGCTTGTCACTGAGGTGTGGGACTCCTCCCGGCTTACCCCTACTTCTGAGCAGCGAGCACCTCCTTGGAGCAAGAGCCTGGGTAAATTTTCCCACCAGAGTCCAAATTTCTGCTTGGTCAGAGGCCAAATACCAAGGTGAGGTGCTGCTAGTGCTGCACTTTGATGGCAGCAAATTTTTCTCGGATGCTACTGAAAAACATCTTTGTTTTCATTCCCAGATAACCCTCCTGGGACAGGGAGCACAAGTGGCGGATCCTTGAGATCCTTCTAGGAAGGAGAGGCGTTTGCTGGAGTGCCTCTGTGGCAGACTTCTCTGCTGCTTCTTCTCTGCTTCTCTTTTCAGTGGGGATCGCTTGGCATCTGGCTCAGATGAGAGGAGTGGCAGTCTCATGGCTTAACACAGCACACGTGGAGCGGAGATGCAGCAGGCACGGGACAGAGCCCGTCACAGAAGCCACCTCCGTACACCTCTAACCGACTGCTCCCGGTCGTGCAGCCTCCCTGGGGCAGTCCTCAGGAGGTGTTTTGGGAGATGAAGGTGAAGCGAGAGGCGACGTGTCCCCGTTTCCCCTGCTAAGGCTCAGCTCTGAGAGTTTTGGAGGGGGGTTGTGCCTCAGCAATCTGCTCAGGAAGCTGAAGCAAGGGTGGCTCAGGTCATTACGTGTATGGTGCCCATCAGTAACTGCACCGCACTGCAGGCTTGATGGCAACACATTAGCACTTTCAAACAAAGTCTTTTTTTCCTAGCCTTCAACAGAAATCCCCTGGAAACTGCAGAGCAGCCTTCTATCTTTTTTTTTTTTCTTTTTCTTTCTTTCTTTTTTTTTCCCCTGCACATTCCTGCAAAAAGTAGGATGAAACTCCCTCTGTTTTGGGCAAAATATTTTGCAATTTTCCAATGACCTTGCCAATAAGAAAATTATTACCCATATATCATGGGAAATGCCTGCTTTCTCCCAGGGCTGTAACGTTAAACTATCACCAGTAAAAGACTGTGCTGGCTGCAAGTTTGGCAGGAACACGAAGATCTTCTGGTATGGTACGTTGCATGAACTATTGACTTGAGGATGCCAAAAACTTCACCCCACTTTAAATGAGCTCCATTTTTTAAAATAAATCAGCACATGAATTGGATGTGTTTATTCCAGCAAATCAGAGTGTCAGCCCCTGCACTGGGCTGACATCACTGGCATTTTTATAAGAGGATTCGATCGGGAGTTAACAGTCGGATTACTTAATCATCCCCCGGAACGGTTCTGTTGAGTTCTGAAGGCCGGAGGACAGCCGAGTGACCATTTTTGCAGCTAAGTGTTAAAATTGTCTTGACTCAAAGTGTCCCTTCCCCTGGCTGGGTAACGGTGCGTGCGTGCCAGGAGCTATTCATTGTGGATGAAGAATGGTTTTGTGGTTAAAGCTCTGGGCTGTGCTGTGGGAGCTCTGAGCTCAGGCCCAGATTCTTCTTCAATTTCCCTGTGTGACTCTGAGCAAGTCATTTAATCTTTCAGTGCCTCAATTCTCTTCTGGTAAAGTGGGAATAATCCCATTTCCCTTCTTCCACCCTTTGCTTTTACAGTGTTTGTTTTCGCTGTTGCCTGTTCGCTGCCTCCATGTGATGTAGAAAGCCGGCCAGTAACCAGAGTGTTAAAACGTTATAAAAACACAAAGAAGAATTTCGTTTCACTCCATTCTTCGTATTTCTATTCTAAGTTGAGGAAGATAAAGCTTGATGGCGATGCAGGCTGTTTATACGCAGTGATCTAGTCGTCCCAGAAAGCGGTGTGGCCAAGAAATTGAAACAAGATCTTGTGAAGTGCCATTGCAAATAAATCTGCTCGACTTCCCCTCTGTCAAGGCGTCTCACGCTAGGGAAGGCCACTGGGAGTCATTAATCGTATAATGGATATACTTGGTGCTTTAAAAGGGCTGGTTTCCCAAAGATTAAAGCAATTAGGAGCAAAGTGGTTTGAAAAGGAAAAAAAAATAAGAAGAAGAAGAAAAAAGAAACAACCCCAGACCAAACAGTGCAAATGATAACCGGAACAGTTTAAGAAAACTTCAGCAGGGGCCGTAAAAGTCACAGTTGTGCAGTAGTGGCAGAGGACTTGGTCCTGAAACCCAAACACCCTTCCCCTCCTTCGGCTGAGTGTAAAAGGGAAATGAATGCTACAGTAAAAATACGCGTGTGGAAACAGCCACAAATGAAACTAAAAGTAAAATATGGAACAGATAGTGGAAGTAGGAATGATTGGTATTTAGGCAATAAGGCTGCTGGTGAAGGGAATTTGGTAAAAGTTGATGCTGGGGATGATGGAAGTGCCACAGCAGCACAGAAAAGATGGGAGAAGTCCCCATTCAGCTGTTCCTGCTTTCAAAAAAGACTTGGATGATATTTTAGAAGTTGCAGAGGTACTGAGCTGATTGATATTCCTACAGCCGAGCTGTTGAGCAGCAGCTGCTGCAGGTTAGCCGACGAGGTGCCGGAGCCAGCCCTGACAATTAACAACCTCCCAGCACCAGGTGGGTCCCAGACCCATGGAGGTAAGGTGTTGGGTCAGCACTTACAAGGGTTACAAGGGCCAGATCAGCAGCAGTGACCTGTTTAGCTGGGGATTAATTCAACAGAAAATCATGAGCGAGCTGGTAAGTGGCATGTTCACAAAATGTTGTGGGATAGAAGCAGACCGAGTGCTGATCATCGCTTTTTGAGGAAGTCTCTTCTGTCAAATCTGGTACTGGTTTCCATTAGTTTGTTGAAAGTATTTTTTTCCTAAAGGCGGTTTCTGCAAGGTGTAAAATTCCACATAAAGCTGCATTTTGTTTATTAAATCTTAATTATATAAAATCGAGGTGCTTACTAAGTGTGATAAAATCTGCTTAACTTGGTATTTCTCAAAAAGTCCCTGAAAACGGAGAATCCTTATCCAGGAATAAGGCTTTCTGGGAGGACCTCTCAAAAAGCCCGTTTTTAACTGCTGCTGTTCCCTATCTGCACCCATTCAGTATTTTGATTTTATTATATGGAAAATAAATAAAATCACTGTCGGGAACATCTGGTAGTGCCACAAAAAGGTAGCGGTTAATAGCAAAATAATGAAAATAGAGCAGAAAATATCATAAAATGATAACTTCTTAATCTTGGGTGATCTAAATACCGTAGGTTGCGTGTAGTGGGCCTTTGTTTAGGTGACAGATCCAAGTGACTAACACACTTTGTCCAAAATTGCTGTCTGCCGTGGTTACTGGGGGAGTTGATGCAACTTCTGTGTGAGCACCAGCAGGTGTATGGAGAGCAAGTTTCCATCAGCGATGTCACAGAGACCCGTGCTGAAATAACTGGTTTGGGCTTTAGATTAGTGATTGGAAAAGAAATGATAAGTTGCTGTGAGTTCAGAAATCAGGTGTGAGAATTTTGTTGTTCTGCTGACCCTCAGGTGTCAGCCCTGCAGTCTCCCCATGCCACCGTCCCGTCCCTTTGGGACTGAAGCAGCTGTCAGGAGAGGAGTGGTGTGGTACCACTTGCTTTTCTCCCCTTCTCCCCACCCGAAAGCCTGCTTGCCCAGCCCCGATTGGGGTGTGTGGGTCGTAGCCTGCAGTCAGAGGATGAGCTGCCTGCTCGTGCACTGCTCAGGGAGTCCCTGCAGGCGATGGGCAGCGCTCATCTCCCAGGGCTGCCCTTCACTCACCGCCGAGCAGCTGCCGCTTCCTAGCCTGCTGGCTCCATGCTGGCCTGCTCTCGAGGTGCTCGTAAGGGACAGGATTACTTCGCAGCTGGCTCTCCCAAGTGAAGAGCGACACAGACAAGTGATTTTTAAGCAGATGTATTTCAAGCTAGGTGCTAAACTTGTAACGAGCTGTCCTCCTCACCCCTATCCAGTCCTCAGATGTATCAGAGAATAAGGGAATTGCATCTACCTAGAGGAGTGGTCTCCTTGCACTGTGTAATTGGGGTTTTAATGAAGTTGCTGACATTTGAAGGATGCTATTAACCATCCTGAAACTGCAACACCACAGACAGCACAGCCTCACAAAAAGTAGGAGCTAAACTTCAGTTAATACTGAAGCAGATCTAGCTCTTGTCTGGAAAATAACTTAAAATCAAAATAACATCGTCATCGCATTTCAAGGGAAAAAAAATAGCTGGGAAGAGCAGTAACAGGCAGTGCTCTGTGCTTGCATGTGTTCACCTGGACAGCAGTTCAATGCGATAGTTTGGTTTGCAAAAATCATTTCTTAACGTTCATTCCCCCAGCTTTATTTTATTTAAGGACGTGGCTTCTGCATCCCGTAGCTGTGAACAGCAGAGCCCGTGGTCCTGCCTTAAACTGCTGCCACAAACAAGTGGATACTCCCTGGGAAGTGCAGCAGCACCAAGTGCGTTTTCTTGAAAGCAAGATCCAGTCTGCTGATAGCGCAGGGGTAGGAGCTGACTCTTAACCTGAAGAACCTGTGCCTCTGCACATGATCTCGTTAGTTCTTTTCTGAAAGACAGCAGCGAAGTTGTAATTAGCTTTTGCAAAACATTTGGAACAAGCTGAGTCTTTCATCCCGCCTGAACGCCTTCAGAGGTGCAGCAGCGATCTAAGGACTCGTGATGGACCTGCAAAGCAAATCCGAGTGTACGCTTATAAAGGAATTCATTACAGCAGCCCTGAGTGATTTAACAACTCTTAAATTGTATTTCTATGGTTACTTTAATCTGGCATATGTCTGCTGTGTTGCTGAAAAGGGTGGCTCTGTGCTCCCCGCCACTGCCTGCTGTTGCTGTTCATTCCCGTTCCTCTCTCTTGTGCTGACGTTCCCGTTTTATCGGTTCAGTTCCTCTTCAGCTGGATCAGTTCCCTGATCTGGATCGCGATTCAGCCACAGGACTGCAGCGCTGGCACAGGGCAGACAGCGAGAGCAAGCAGTCGTGGAGGAGGACGCGGAGCCAGCCGTGATTTATGCCGGGTTTAATGACCCTGTAATTGCATCGCGGTGTTTGCTACAGCTCTCCTCCACCCCTTGGTAAAAGTTGAAAATAGGATGCAAGGCACAAGTTAGAGACCAAAAAGACGGTCTGTAGGATTTGGTCTGGGGCCTGATATTTACAGCCCCCAGTGATAAATGACGTTTGATGCACAGAGATGAGCGTTACCGTACCATGGCCGGATTGGGGTTGGTGCAGGCCAGGTTGTGCCAGAAGATTTTTGCTCTTTTTTGTGCTCTTGTTCCTGCCTGGTGAAATTGAGAAAGCAGTAACCGGAGTGAAATTTTCATCTCGAAATGTTTTCGTAACCCTCCGAGCTCCAGCTGCAGCCAGCCAGGAGGTGGCAAAGTGGCCTCAGGGCTGTGCCCAGAGCCGGTGCTGTCTGCCCGTGCTGGTGGTGCCACCCCTGCCACCTGAGGGCTCCTGGGGTACAGTGCCGGTGATATTTTAGGCTTTTGTGCAAAAACCGTCTAAAAAGGAAAACCATTTACAGTCTAAATTGCACATCAGTTGGTAACTCATCAACCTCAGGTGGCTTCCTCCATCTGTCTCGCTGCAGGACGTGGAGAGCCCACACCTCAGAGAAGAAGCTCTGGGTGTGTGGGCGCAGTAGCTGTGTGCTTAAATTTTGGTGGATTTCATTTCTTCTAGCTTCACTTACAGCTGGCTGGGAATGCAAGTGAATGCCCGGCACGCGGGCACATGCTGATATTTTGTCACACGCAAACGTGAGCTACCTTAACAGGAGGCTTTTATTGTTTTTCCCTCAAAGTCAAGTGCTTGGATGTTGCGAAGTGTCCCAGTTAACCTACGGCTGACCCTTGGCACATGTATTGTGTTAGCTGTCTGCAGTGACAGCCTGCTAGACTTTCTTACTCTTTTTTTTTTCCAAACCCTTTTCCTCTGAAGTTGCTGAGCCATTTGTTTGGGGAAAAAAATCAGTCCATAGCATGGAAGGCTTCTGCAGAAATGCTTCAAGTTTGACAGGCAGCGGTACAAAGGGCTCCGTGTTGGTGAACGTGGGCAAAGAGAAGGGCTGCAACCTGGGCGTGAGCTAATAGCTCCCACACAATTGTTCGTACCCAAATAAAAGCAAGTCTGAGACCACTATTTATTCAATAACGAGGATGCATTTGATTAACCGTGAAGCAATTTGGCAGTGCCGTGATTTATGTAAAAAGTTACCGAAAGTGCAACCAAATTTAAATTAAAAAGAACACATCATCACCATGTCTAATATTCTTCTGCAGCCCGGTTTTGAAAACCATTAGTAGTAATAAACTTTCCTCCCATAAAAGTTCTGCCATTTTAATTTCCAATTAGAACTTGCATAAGATATATACGTGGCAGTAAAAGGAAAGAAATTAAGTCTCAGACCATGCTGCAGCCTGACACAACGATGCCCCGATGCTCATAAATCAGTTTCTGTTTGTTGTGAACCTCTTAAATCCCCACTGGTAAGAGGTGTAGAGGTATTTGTCTCCCATGAAAACATTCTCCCACACCCTTTGTAATTAAAAGTAATCTTAAATTTCATCTAGTTCCATGAGAAAGAGCTTTCATACAGTAATTTGAGTTGGACTCCAGAACGATGGAATGCGAGTTGAAAGCTTAATGAATTTACTCTATAAATCTTTTTCTCTGTTTTTCTTGTCAGTTATATCAGGGCATTACACATATTTTTCCTTACATTGCTAGCTGGGGATTTTTTTTTTTTTTTTTAAAGAGAACCTCGGCGCGTGTTTTTCTGGGGAACAGCATCTGCTGGAGCTCGGTGTGCTAACGCCGCGGCACGGTCGCTGCTTTTTGGGATCAGGAGCTGGATGCCGCTCCTAATGAAATGAGGCTGGGAAAGCTCCTCGTGGTTAAGAGATTTCACGAGCCTTGTTTTAGTTTGGCCCTGCAGCATGCTAGCACAACAGAGCCTTGGTTGGCTCTCAGCAGCGTTATTTATGCAGTGGGATTTACTGAGGGTGGGCTTTGGGCTTTGCTCTTCCAGCTTAGGAATGGGAAGCTGCTAAGGAGGAGCTGCTCCACTGTCCTTATTTTCTGTCCTGCTCCTGGAAACGATGATCCGTTGTGCTAATAGCTGAGAAAAGGTCTTCTGTTCGGGACAAAACACACAGCAGGCTACGAGCAGGGCCTCTTCGTTGCTCAGACTTGCCACGTGCGTGCTGTAAGGTCGTCATTACCGCTCCTGCACGTTACCACCACGCGTGCTTCCCTCCAGGTGCGCTGAAATCGGCATTAAAGCGAGGAAAGGAACGAGGGGAGCGATGACAGAAAGGAGCGGGGAAGGGGAGCAGGGGGGTGAGGACACGGAGAAGGAGGAAAGGTTGCCAAAGGAGTTGGGCAACGAGGACTTGAGCGTGACCTCACCGTCCTCCCACGCAGCACAATTTTCTGAAACGAGACAGATTTCTGCGGGTTCTGGGAAAGTTTACGTTGTGCTACCTACTGCGTGCTGGTATATGTGTATATACAAACAGCACCGAGGTTTCTTCAAGCATTTTTGCGAAAGATGGTTCAGCAGTGTCCAGAAAGGTTTAAGAGGTCACCGAGGAATTTGTGTGAACGCAGTAACACGTTCACAGGGCGGAGGTTTGGCTGTTAAGGTGAGGTCGGGACTGGGCTGTAGGGGGAAGGAGGGAGCACTGCTCCCTGCCACCCCAGCAGCATCGCAGCAAACAGATACAAGCTCAGATGGTTCCTGATGTTAAATGAAGGAGAGAAGCAGAGGTTGAGCTTTCATAACCTCAGACCCTTCTTGCTTTTCTTAGGATCAAAATGTGAAACATTAATAATCCAGGATATTCCTCTAAGCTGCTGGCTAAAGCAAAGAGCGCGGCTTTTCTTACGTTGACAGCTTACAAGACCAACTGTGAACATTACGTTTTTTTAATAATAAAAAATGATTGTAAATGTCCAAAAAGAGACGTCAGAACACACGATCATAAAGGATGATTGTGTGATTAAACAGAGAGGCTCGCTGTTTGGTGCCGGCCCTGCGTGCCGGTGCTCCTGCTCCTTTTGCCTCGTTTCTCCACAGGAGATGCAGCATGGGCTGCCCGCGTCATTTTCTTCCTTCGTCTTTCAGTGGGGAAGACAGCGGCCTGTCACCTGTCAGCGCTGCCTTTATTATTTTGGAGAAGCCCGGGGGGGGAAAAAAAAAGTGCCTTGGGGTGTTTCCATATCGGTGACTGTTGCAGTGTGGTCTCCGCAGCCAACAAATGTTGAAATATCCGTGTTTTTTCTTACCGCTGCTTTCCATGTTTCGTGTACAGCGAGCTGTCTGGCCGACAGCAGCACCTACTGCCTGTTCTTCGTGGGCAGAAGCCGAGGAATGGTAAAGCTCCTGCCTACAAACCAAAAGGGCAAATACCTGATTCTTCTGAGCCTTCAGAACCTCCTGCCCCAAATACATACCCGTGGAATCAGGGTGAGCACTGGACACCTAGAGATGTAGCCGAGAGCTCCTTCTCTGTGCAGAAGCAATTCACAACCACTCTGTTGCTTTTCCCAAGCATCTTGCACTGTCAAGGTAGCTTCTCATCTGTTTTCCTCCGAAGAGGGTGGCAAAATGCCCTAAATTCCTGGTGAGATGGGCTAAGCCGTTCTGCACACCTCGGGAGGGTGCGCTCTGACAGCCCGTGCTTTGCCCTATGGGGCCATCCAGAAATAACTTCAGCAGCACCGAGTTCAAACCCAGCATTTAGGTTCCTTTGTGGGGAAAAGAGGGGGGAAAAAAAAGTGATGATTAACGCAGCAAGCAGCGGGTAAAAAGGCCTCTTCGTTTTTGACAGGTGCATTGTGCATTCTGGGCTGCCAGCCAAGGCACATTGTCATCAAATGTTAATCAAACCTGCAAATAATATACAAAGTATTAAATTGTGCTTATTCCCTGAGTAATCTGAGACGGAAATTTATCAAACCTTGCTATACGTTAAGGTCCTTTAAGAGGAGGAGAAGCAGAACTATGAAGCTGATAAAAGGGCTGGGGCCAGCACCCTGTTTGGGCAGAATTAAGCGTTTCCAACCCCCGAGTGTTTTCCTTCAGCATCGTTCAATGTGAGCAGTTAAATCCACGGGTAAAGGGGAGCAGGCAGGGAGAGGAACATCAGAAATCTCCCTCCAGCTGCATGCTTAAAGCTGTAATTTTTTGGTCTTCTGTGTGGCTGTGCCCTGATTCATATGGACAAAAGCTGCAGGCCCCTGTCCCTGGCCTTTTACATCATCTTTTATGTCTTTGAGTTGCTTTGTGCCCCGTGTAGACCCTGTAACCAAGGGCTCTCCTTCCCCTCCTGCTTTATGGTGATCTGAGAGAGGTGAAGCTGCCCCGTCCCCGGAGTGGTCTCTGCTGCGTTTGGAGCTGATTTAGGAACGTGTTGAACCCAGAACTCTTACCTTTTACCCTAGGTCATGAATCTTTGCTGCGAGGGTGGCTTCTCAGGATGCCAAGGGCCGTGTTCAGGTGTGAACGGGGCAGCTCTGGGTTACCCACAGCAGGCACGGCCGAGGGAGATGCCGGGGCACTGCGCCCATCCTGAGGGCTGCCGATACGCCTCAGCACCCTGCCTGATGGCTCTGCAAATCTACCAGCGTGTGGCTTGAAGGTGTGGCCGCGGTGTTAAGCCCCAAACACAGCTGCTCCCACAGCTCCCAGCCTCCCGGCAGCATTTCTCAGGCTGGACCCACGCGGCGTGCTGCGCCCGGCCCCCAGCACCCTGCGTGTGCTCCCGAGAGTTGTACTGAGCTTCCTGAGGCTCCTCCATTGGGTGTGCTTTTACTCGTGGAGTCCTTCCCAGTTCTTTGCTCAAAGCCTACCCAGAAAGGATTTTCCTTGAAATATTTCTCAGGAATGGGCTTCTTTCCCATACTTCGAGTGGGAGGGATGGATGGATATAACATGAGCATAACCGTGTGTAAATGCAGGTGAGAACAAAACTCATCCAGAAGCTCTACACCAAGGCTAGCTGAGCTCTGCAATGAGACCTGTTCGTTTTCCTTTGGGGCCTTGAAGGAGAGCGGAGGTGTTGTCCTGGTGTACAAGGAGGGGCTGGCAAAGAGCTGAACCCGGATCCTGCCTCTGCTGAGCAGCCCCCGTCTGCCCTCTCCCAGCCTCGTCTGCGCTTCTCAAGAATGCGATTGCTTCGCAGGCTGTCCCCTCAGCAAAGCAGAAATGTAGCAACCCAAACTTTTCCTCCTCAAGAGTCTGCCTTGCCAATGGCCTTTGTCAGGGCCAGGTTGTTATCAGCGCGATGCCTGATGTTTACTTTTCAGTGCCAGTAAATAAATCTCAGGCCCGCTTGACCCCTCGCTCTTCAGCCTCCCCCATGCTGAAAACAAAAATGCTGCTCTGGATACAATCAACCAGTTCGGTTCAAGTCCTGCTTTTCAGGATCTGAGTCTGAAACTGGTGGTCTCGGAGTCTCTTAATGCCATTAAAGCTCAGATTTCAAAGATGTGTGCCTTGGAGCTTTTGGGTTTGATTTAAAGATAAGCCACTCAGGCTATGTTGATCAAGGGAGTGTCTTTATGTGAATTTTCCTTTTCAAATAAATCCAGGCCAAGATTTATCGGATCCTTCTAAAGGCATGTGTTACTGGAAGACATTCCTGCCTGCTTCCAGCTCTTCTCCCTGCTGCCGGGAAGGAAGGATCCTGAGCAGGCCCTCGCCTTTCTCAGCAGCGTCAGGAGCTCTAAACGAGGCTGCTGGCAGTTCGTAAAACGGTGACGTGCCCTCAGATGCTGGGGGCTTGGTGTGATTTGTGCAGCCCCTGTGCCCATTCCTCACTTTCCTGCTGCTTTTTTCTTCATTAAAATTGGATGGCGGTCTTTCTCCTTCCAGCAAGGCGGTGAGAACAGCTGGGGAAATGAGCAGCGGTGACAATTTGGGGACTTCTCACTTTCATGTGGGCTGCAAGACCTGGTCCGAGCTGTGCTCTTAGTCTGAATTTTTAGGTCTGAATTTTTGGGCAGACCTGTGTGGTGCCAGGAGTCCTTTCCACAGGAAATCACGCTCAGAGAAGTGGAGAAGTCTGGCAGGGCCTCCAGCCCAGCGTTCCCTTTCAGGGCAGTTTTGCCCTCAACCAAGCTGCTGCTTCTGGCCAAATGAGCCGAGGAGCGGAGTGAAAGCAGGAGGGACAGAAATACCCGGAGAAAACTGCTATTTGTGCCCTTCCAAAGGAAAATATTTTTAAAATAAGCCCTAAATGCGTAATTGGTGTAGCAGTGGAGATGCTTCAGGCTTTCCCTGCGGATGCAGAGCAGATGCATTGCCAGGACGGCTCATTGAGAGAAAGGGAAGGACTTGTGCCTCTGGGAATCTGGGGAGATTTGGGCCCCAGTACGAGGCACTGGGGAGCAGAGGTTTCCTCCCAGCAGGGCTCTGCTCTCCCTGTACCCCCAGTGACCCCTGGCTCTTGCTCGAGGATGCTGGAGCCACAGACCTAACACAGGGCAGTCTTCTCCTTAGGGTATGGGATGGGCAGCAATGCACAGGGTGGCAGAGATGTTCCCAGCCCCAAATCCCAGGCAAACATCAGCTGAAATTCATCCTCTTTCCCTTTAGTCTGCCTCCAGCCCCTGAACCAGGTTCTGTGTTTTAGAAAAGATCAGCCTGCAGAACAGCATCCCTGGGCACCAGCAGAGCTGCCTCGCGTGAGAAATCGTTCCGGTGTGTCATTACCCTCACAGCTAGGAGATTACATCTTCGTTTAAGGTCGAATACGTCTAGTTGCAAGTTCCAGGCATTAGATCTTATTAAGCAAAGCTGAAAAGTCCCCCGCTATCAGATCCCTTTTTGAAGTTCTTCTGTGCAGTAATAAAATCCTCTCTTAAATTTGGGAGACAGGCTTTGGAGAGAGGTCTAAACATAGCACCAAGGGTAATAAAAAAAAAAAAAAAAAGTTTAAATTGGCAGGGAAAACAAAACAAAAAAGAAACAACCCCAAAGCCCATCCCTTCCCCCCAAGAACTTTAAGGAACTGCATTACAAATGAAAGCTGGGAAATTTCAGGTTTGTGGTTGCCTCCACCCACCTCGCTTGTCTGTGCTGCAGCTGCACGAGATACGAGAGGTCGCCCAAGAGGTGCTTTTAGGATTTCCTAAAGAAGGAGAGCAGCCTGCTTATCTCGCAGGCAGCGCTCGCTCTCGGTGGGGAGAGCGGCTCTGGTTTCCTCGGGTTTGTGGGTTTCAGCTAGATCGCTGGTGTTAATTTAAAATAGATCTCTGTGGTTTAATAGCTCTCCCTCTGCGGTGTGGTTATCTAAGAACGCATTTCTGCCTCTTCGGGAAGGCAGAGGATGGGAAAAAAAAAAAAAAAAGCTGTTCTGAAAATACAGTGCTGGAAGAGATGCTGCCTTCTAGGGCAAGACGGAGAGCTCGGGACCTGCTCTGCTTGGGTGCAACGCTCCCGAGAGCCTTCACAGCCAGAGCAGGGGCTCCTCGCTCCTTCCCTTGGGTGGGTTCCAGCTCAGGTAATTGCCCTCTGCCCACTTAAGTTTCTTCCTGCAGTTTCAACTGAATGTTATTTATTTTTTTTTTTGCTTCCGCCTTTGAAAATAAACCTATAGTTAGCATAATTGGCACAGAGGTGGCAGCAGCGGTGGAGAAAGCGATCTGTGTATCTACTCCAAGGTGTTATTTAATGTAATTAAGCGGAGCGTGGATCTGCTGCCTGCCGCAATGGGTTCAGCTCCCAGCTCGGAGCCGGGCTCCCTGCTTCTCGTTTTGAAGCTGGTTCTTCAGGTACTGTGGCACTTCTGGGGAGTACAGGTCTGGTCCTGCAGTCTGCTGAGCAGCCTCGGCTCCCATCGGAAGGAGGGAGCTGCTGAGATGGTTCAGCATCTCCCAGGAGCTGGGATCTGAATGTGAAAGGAGTCAGGAGACGGCTTTGGGATCGGTGTTTGGTTCGTGACTCTGGGATTAAGGGCTTAAAATAATTCTGCTGTGAACAGGCGTCGAGTTTAGAGCTACCTTAGAGCTAAATACTGAACCTTGGAGGTTCAGTAATACTGAATACTTGGAGGAAGCTGTCTGAAATAACCTCAGTAACGGTGTGAGCGCAGTCCCTCCTGGCCCAGACAATAACCCCAAAACGAGCCGTGCTGGACCAGCAGCACCTCAGTCACATCACGCTTATTTCCAGAGGAGGCCCCACTGTGGCTAACGATTTGTTTCTCATTTTCCTTTCCATCTTGCACGATGTGGCAGTGCCACGTGGCTGTAATTCACCCGCAGCCAGCAGCAGGACGAGCCGAGCTCGGGTCCCGCTGGTATCAACACAAATGATGTTCTGGCTGCTAAATCTTCAGAAAGAGGGTTTTAACTTCCATCCTTTCCTCTTCGTAACTTGGGCTGACTGAATTACTTAAACCCTTGGTATACCAAAGGCTGAGAGTGGCTGTTTCTGAATTGATTTGCCCATCTGGAGCAAAACCTGACCGTGCCCTTATTGCTAAAGCAGAGAAATGTTCCTGCTGATGCCCAGCCTCGCCTAAGGGTCAATGGGAGCGAGACGAGCGGTGGCAGGAATACTCTGATTCCAGCAACCAGCTAAAAATCCGCCGAGCGATGTCGGCAGCCTTCCCGGCAGGACCTGCGGAGAGCCATCAGCGGGAGCTGCCACCCACAGATCCGCACGGGGTGAGCAACCCCAGAGGGGGAGGAGGAGGATCTGTGATGCACAGCCAGGAGTTGCTCTAGAAACAGGGCTAATCACGGGCTGCCGGGGATGGGCTTTTACTTGCGATGGCTTTGGCTCTCCCTGGCATTTCACGCAGAACCAGGAAACGGAGGCAGGCGCGCAGAACATCAAAAAGCTTTTAACTAGGCATTTTTGCCTAATATCCTAAGGAAATGAGGCTGGTGTGATCACACCGCCTCTGGGGGTGTATGTGTGTGTCTAATAGCTTTTGAATTCACTGGCCGATTCCAAGCAAATTTAGCAAAAGGGCGAAGAGCTCAAAGAGGGATGCGTTCCTACAAGTCTGGGGAAAGCAGGTGGCGGGGGAACGCACGGGAGAGCCCCCGGTAGCACCGCGCTGAGGGAGGAGGCCAAGCAGCTCCCTCCCCTTAAACATCCGAGATCCACGTGGAGAAAAGGGGGTGGAGGAAGATTGAGTCAGACCAGTGGAAAGTGAGGCTTTGTTAGTTTGCTCGTGGTGGATGCTCTCGCTGTAGTGCCAGAATTGTGGAGTTACCCGCGTTTTTGTGCACCACGCGCTTTGCAGGTGATGGGGGTTGTATGGAGCTGGGCCTCCAGCCTTCCCTTTCGGCCAGCACCTCTGTGGGGAGAGGTCGGCTGCTTCCAGGGGCACTCTGCAGGGAATATCAGCACAGCAAGGGTTAAATAACAGTTGAAAACCCACTACTCTGTCAGCCCATGCAATTATTGTTATTGCTCAAAGTCTCCTTCATCCCCAACCTGTGCAAGAATGAATTTCATTTCAGATTCCCCAAATAATCCTCCGGGACAGTAAAGTTGGTCGTCAAAGGCTTTAAGTAGCAAGATCAATTTTTAGTTTTTGCTGTGCTGCCTCCGGGGAGATGCAGCCCTTTAATGGTAGGAGAGCATATGGAGTTTTAAAGGGCCTAAAGGCTTTTTGACTGATATTTATAGAGACTGAACTCTTTGAGCACGAATGTTTGATTCTAATGATCTGTCTGGCTGTACTGCTAATAAAGCTTTACGTGCAGAATTTAGCAGGGACACCTCAGCTAACACTCCTCCTGCAGGGAAAATCCAGTGGAACATTTATGGACCCTTGCAAGTTCGCTTAGACTCCCAGCTTCTGTAAATCCTGCTGGTCCTTACTGCTGGGATTTACCAGCCGACAGAAGGAGGTCGTGGAAACTCTTTGGTACAGTCTGGGTAAGTGCCTGCTGTCCAGTTTCCTTTGCTAGGTCTAGAGAGCAGCTGATTTTGTAGCTCTACCACCAGATCCAGGCACGAGGAGGAGTGCCAGGAGGAGCTATGGTGAGCAGAGAGACCACTGAAGCCAACTTAGCCACGATAACACCCAGCTGAGCACCCAGCACACCTCCTGGGCTGGCTGCAAAAATGTGTTTGAAATGGTGAGGAATGGATAGCAAATCCTGCTTTCAGCCATACCTGGAAGTGCTCAGATATTTCCTGGTTGGCTCTCTTAGAGCTGAGATCTTTCAAACAGGCTCGGCATGAATTAAAATCAGGCAATTATAACGTAGATGCTCGCTCCCAGTCTGCTTGGTCACGCTGGGAAGAGCAGTTTCAGGCACTGGAGCAGCACTGCGGTGCTGTTTGAAGGGCTTTGGGCACTGTGCTGTAGGGCGCTAGGTTAATAAAATGAGAGTGTTGGAAAGTGACTGGCAAACACAGCTTGTATTTTCTGGCTTGACTAATCCGTCTGCCCTCCTGAGAATTGCACCATGAGCTTCCGTGACAGTGCTACAATGGGTAGGTTGGAGAACCTGACGTTTCCTTAGAGAAAAAAGTATTTGTCGTTGGCCCATTTTGATTCAACTTTCTGTAAGTCCTCTCCTGCACTGTGCTGAAATCATGCTGCTTCTGTGGAGCTCCCTTCCTCGTGGTCCTGGGGATGCACACGGGGCACATTGGGCTCCTTTCAGTTCTGTGGAGGCTGCTTTTTTTTTTCTCA